GCTAGGGCTCCTGAAGAGCAAACTCGGTAAGCATAGGCCGTATGTATTGACCAAAAATTCTTCCTTTACAAGGTTTCGCAACACAGATATACTTTATAATGTCCGAATTTAGTTATGTTTTTTAATAGTAAAACGTAGTTTAACCCTCTTATTCGAGAGATTCTGTGGTAGTACTCGTAAGTGAAAGGTGTACCGGTGAAGTATGTCAACCTTGTAAAAGCTCTCAACTCATACACTATCATCCGAGTCAGAACCTGTAGCAAACCATCATCGGAAGTGAGAACTTCAAGTGGAAATTGTCGAGGCTGTCTACTTCTTTCGTTTTTAATATGCTTTGTTGTATAAATCTAGTTAAAAATACCGTCTTTCTCTGGGTTCCAGGTGCTAACCTCCCATGATGAGATTTTATTGACTTAGAATATTCAGATGATGTAGCTATGATTGGTAAAAACTTTACATGATCTAGAGTCTTCTGATCTCTTTAAGTAATAATTAAACCGCGATAGCACGTGGTATTCTGTTTTTAAACTCGAAATGTTGCTATAGGACCTGTCTGCGTTAATGCTTTAATTAATGACAGAGAACCGTGTGTTTGATTCTGTCAACCACTTCACTCGTTGCCGAATTTCCATCAGTTCTGCTGAGCTAAATGCTTGACAAAGTATAAGCGAGAATTCAGAAGGATCACTTGCTTTTGCCAACTTGCTCTACTTGTGGTGTAGGCCAGATGTTCATCGATCAAGTAAAAAGTGGATTCACAGAGTAGCAGATTTCTGCTCTTCATTGCTTTCTTTATGTGAAATGAGGCCACTAAAAATAAACTATACTCGCAGTTCAGTAGTATTCTACCGTAGGTGCCTTTGAAGCATTGATTACGCACGTTAGGATAGCCATGTGTTCCGTACTGAGATTAATCATATGATGCTAGGTAAGAAGTGACAAATACGTTATAAGGTATGGATGTGGTTGAGACATGTGTTCCGTATTCTTGACCGCCAACTACTTTGACAGGTGACGATTTTAGTGTAGAAGTAGGCTGAAAAAAGCCATTGACGGCCAAACTAGAACATGACATCAATTCATGAAGTCATTGGTAGTTGGACAAAGCCATGTTAATAGGTGCAGACTATCTATCTGTGGTCCGCGTGATATTCGTAACCAATGGTTAGGTACTTTAAATGACTTATCTCAAAGACGTTTGTAATGGTACAAGTGCATCTGTTCTTTGTCGTTAACATATTCTGAATTTCTCAATTACTTATAATCTTTTTGGTGCTCTTATTTCACTAATTTGTATTTTCTCGAACCATACATTTGATGCTCAATCCTTTTAATCACTACTCGTACTAAGGTATGATGGTTAGGATCGATTTGTACGTAAGGTAATTGATAATTGTACTACCATATGTTGGCTAACAGGCAGATTACACATCTGGAGTCTGCTCGATTATTGTAACCAGTTGTTGAAGACGTTGAATAACACGACCATGACGTGGATGCATTCAATCTTTGTCCTCACTAAGCCCCCGAGTCCCGGAATATTCTTGCACCTTTTCTTTTCCTCTCTTTTAATTAATCTTTTCTACTACTATTATTGATATTAATGCCACTTCCACACCTCTGGAATTCCTCTCACTGCGTGAGCGGAACCTGGTAACTTGAGTAAGGGCTAATATATGTCAGTTTCTAAATTACATACTTCTGGTTGATTTTTCAGTGGTTTAATATTATATATATATATATATATATATATATATATATATATATATATATATATATATATATATATATATATATATATATATATATATATTGTAAATTAAGGGTCAACGAGTATTTTTCTATTTTTGCTCATATGCAATAAGTTATTATATGAAATTTGACAGAATAATTTCGTGATAATTTTTTGGCTAACAATTTGCCACATATACATAACTGTATAGCTTTGAAACTAAACTGACCCCATACTTTGAATCAAAACGTGATCCTCTGTCAAAGCTAATATCGTAGAAAACAGTTGAAAGTTAACAAATAGTTATACATCCCTAAGAAATTCAGTTACGTTTTAGCCACAATTTTACCTTCATTGCGGGAGATAATCGTAAGCAAACTGTTATATTCGAGTGTACTTTCGTGTTCTAGCTTCTTAGGTTTATTTATCAGTTAAAATAGTAATTAGGAATCAAGGACTCAAATAAGTAGACCGGCTAAACTACTTCACGAAATGCTACATTCCATCTACAGTGAACTCTTATGAATTGTTAATTAGCTTGTAGATAACAATTTTTAGTGAACTAGTTATGAATAAAAACATAACCGGTAATCTTCATCATGCTATGTAACCTGGCTGAAATGTATTATTATATAGATCATAATACGCTGAAGACTGGCTTGTTCCAAAATTTAATTTTTTTTGCACTCAGAAACCTTCACTTAATGTTATTCATCTGGTATTGTCTGAGTTTCAAAAAATCTTGAAACATCAAGGTTTCCTTTTCGGAAGCACAAATAAACCAGTTTTCTTGTTGGAAAATATAGATATGCTATTCCGTCAGACAAAATGGTTTTCACTTACAGTCGTATTTTTGAATATATTGAAGCTTAAGTGACTAGTTTGGTGTACTTTATTTCTAAAAGCAACTTCAAACTTAATACTTGATAGATTGCCTCCTAAAAGCAAGGAACGTATATCCTTACGTCATAATGTTTGACGATAGTATTGATAATATAAAAACGTAGAGACTATCAATCTTATGAAATCCCGATTCTTCACAAAAGCTTTTAACTTCCGCGTAAGAAGTTCAAGCCTCGAGAAAATTTCTTAAATAGCACCGGTTAGATTTTTGACAAAGCTAAATTCTGTGTGAGCAAAATTATTGAAACACTAACAAATTAACAAAACATACGGCCGTATGATTAGTGAATCTTTTAAAAAAAACACCGACAGAAGTTTATGGATAGTCTCTATAAAACTTAAATCCATTGATCGCGTGAAACATTGAAATTTGACACTTCGAAATTATCAGTAAGTGAAACCATGAACTCGGAAGTCACCATTAAAAGAGTTATTTTTATTTGTATTCAAAATCGACGTTGCCGACATTAAATGTTTTTGAACACTTACATCATTTCTGCTGCAAATTTGAAATCTTTTTAATATACTTTTGAATTAGTGTAACATGCGCTCCTAGGAAAAATTGTACATACTGTAGATCTGTACCATGTTTAGTGTCCATTAGTTGTTATCACTTTCACGGGGTTTTGATATTATTAGTTTGATTTGATTCATAATTAAAGCCTTTGCTGCTTTTCCATACCTGCCTATAGATAAGGGTACCTTTGAGTTTACCAAGATGTTCATAAGATTAAAATGTACGTCTCGTCTACGGATCTATAAATTTTTTATAATCATAATAAAAACGCACATGAATATATGGTATTTATTCTTTCATTTCACATATACAAAAAAATAATTACTATGGTGTCGAATAAAATTCCATGCGTAGGCAGAGAATAACCTAAAGTCTACTGACAATAATAAAATTTAATGACACTGTTCAATCCAAAAAATTAATTCTAATACTGCATGTCTTGCCTGATGTTCTAAAAATACTATTTCCGTGTAGTATATAGGCGTGGTTTTCCAAATTATATTGGTGAGAAAACATCGTTGTTCAATGACACTTAAACGAAAGTAAAACGTTGGTAATTTAATTCTTAATGGTTTGAACTATTCCGTTTTTGTACAATTGATTAGCTATATATAGTCAGTAGCTATGTGAATAACGTACTGGAGATTGAAACAAACAGTACTAAGTTTGAAACCTAAGATGAAAGTCAACTTTGGAATCCAGGTACACCTAGCTAACGAGTTCAAAGTAAGATAAAATGCGCATCCTTGATTTCACTGCTAGCAAAGTTCATCTATTCTATATCAAATGGGCATAAGTTTACAACCAGAGTTATATGTCCTTTTTCGGCTAAATTAAGTTACGGATATTTATCACTAAATAATTAAGACAACTTATTTAACTAATTAGTTGCATTAAAATACCACGACTCATGTTTCGATTTCCCAGTACAAAAAGGAAGCCTATATCACATCATCCTAAACATTTTTTTCTATTTTCCCGAAATATACCTAACTGCATAATCCTAATTTTACGACTATCATAATTCATCGATTTGTTACGAAAGCTAAGCTGAATAAATAAATTTTGGAGAAGATTGATTTGTAGTAAAGACTTCAAGCGCTATGTACCATTTCCATATGTTTTAATTTTAAAGTTAAAATTTGCAGAATAATCTTTACAGAGTATATTTAATATCGATACAATACTTACAACTTTATCAGTATAAAGTTGTGAAGATTACTAAGTTTTTGATTGGGATCATGAACCGATTTATGTTAGATCACCATTGAAAACCTGGGAACACTGGATGACCGTTGTATTCTATTGTGGGACTCCTCACTAATGTGCATCCACAATTACGCCTGCGGGATTCGAACGCAGGGCCTTTGGTCTCGCTCAAAAACGCTTAACCTTAATCATAAACTTAAAAATTCAGCAGAACAAAAATATAAACAGGTTTTAGTATATCAAAATATTTTGCAAAGATTTTGATTTGGTTGTTATTTCACTGAATTTTAGTAAATTTATCCTAATTTATTAATATGGTTCCTTGACGGTATTTATAGTCGATTAGCATATGAAAGTTACCAATATATTTCTGACTGATCAAAAACTATTAAGTAGATAAAAAAGTACCTTAGTAATAAACAGAGAGCTGTAATTCTAAATACAGTTTTTACAGACAATCTCTCCTCTATACTTGGTGCTCGAATTCTGTCAGACGATTCGTTTAAATATTGACGATTGTTCGTATATATCATAGATCTTGTTTGACGACTGAACTAATATATATATATATATAGTTAGTATTTGCAGCTATATTTACATTTTCTTTTAATTTAGCTTTGTCGAATCATTTAAAAACAAATGCCGGTCAAAGAGACTATAAGTAATCATTTAACTGATGAAGAAGAATATCGTAATGGATATCTATCACCAAATTTAATAATGTTACGTTCAAGAGGAGAAAATTTACAATTCATTACTAAATTAAATTTATGGTAAATAAATTATTTCAATTAAATTATTATAATATTTGAGATGGTGGAGAAGATTTGTAGCTTAGATGGATGATTTTGATGAAGTTCTGGTCTATGAGCTGGATGGTTTGGTCGTGGAGCTTTCATCGTTCTCCTGAACAACATCATCAGCACAAGCTGTTTCACAGCTTTGTTCTATGAAACGCATATAGAGAAATTCGAACACTTTACTTCTATCTGAAGCTTGTATCGATGATGTCATTCAGAAGATTGATGAAAGCTCCACGACCAAACCATCTAGCTCAGAGAACAAAACTCCATCCCAAAAAATGTTATACTACTTAAATGAAAAAATTTTTTTTAATTTTCATTCTTTTTGTATTATAGGGGTTTAAAATTAAAACATGTTTCCACTTTAAAATGTATGCCAAATTTAAAAATAATCAATATGAGGTAATTTATACTTTAATACATTATAACAATAATAATAATTTCTAGTTCAAATTGTTTACAATCACTTGAACCATTTTCTCATTGTTTAAATCTATGCGAATTATATATACGCAGTAATCATATTGTAAATATTGATGAAGTGGCCCATTTGAAATATTTAAATATGCTTGAAAAATTATGGTTAAATGGCAATCCATGTTGTCTATTCTGTAAATTAATTCTTTATTTTTATTATTGTTATTTTGAATAAATAATTTTGATTTTAGTTAAAAATTATGAAAGAAATGAAAACGTTTTATATGATTCTTCAATAGTATATAGATGTACTGTGATACGTAATGTGCAAAGTTTAATACATTTAGATCAAGAAGGTAATATGAAAGATAATTCTTTTGTTATAATTCATTAAGTTTTTTTTCATATACCAATTCAATTTTCAGTTTTGTAATTTATTTTTAATGATACATTGTTGAATTCAGTTGTTATAAACCCTGGACCTGGGTTTCCTATCGACTTCCTCCATCTATCACCATCTAATCACAATATAGTGCACTTGGTGTCGAGTCACCTAGACTGGTGGCCACATTGCGACATGATTAACAGCACTCGATCTGCACTAATAAAGACTTGACACACATGACATTGATCACCACCCAGTGATCAATCAACTGTGATTAGTTGGTATACCTGTACATACATGATTGATAGAATATAGTAACCATTCTAGAAAAAAAAACATTTGGTATGAAAGTTTGTAGAGATTAATGAATGTTATCGATATCATTAATCAACCTAAGTTAGTCATCTATCGATGACAATGAGCAATGCAAAACCACGATCTCACCAAGGTTGAAACCGAGGATCTTCAGGTTTGCACACAAACTCTTATCGTTTAGATGACAGAGCAAAAATCTAGTGATATGTATGTCTAAATTCCATCAATTCACGTTATCAGTCGATTATCTAAGAACTCTTAGAAGTTTGGTATAACAGAGATATTTGTGAACACGAGTGATATTCAGTTAACATATAATACATGTCGATTATTAGGCATGTTTTAATAAAGTGAAATTTTCGGTTGATAAATGCATTAACATTTTACTATTCATTATTTATGATAAAAATCGGAATTAAAATTATACACTAAACAATAACTTCTTACCAGAATGGGAATGTATGTTGATTGTAGTAATGTTAATAGGTGAATTCGTAAGTCAATTATAGAGTTGAGCAAGATTATGGATTGATTGAAGTAAGACATTAACACAGTTGGATGCTGGCTCAGTAGTCTGGAGGTTAAGGGTTCGCGCGCGGGGCCAAAGATCATAAGTTCGAGCCCCACGTATAGCATTGTGGATGCGCACTGTTGGTGAGCCCCATACTAGGACGAAACGTCAATCCAATGCTTTCAGGTTTCCAATGGTAGTCTAGCTTAGCTTAACTCAATAATCCAACTATTAAAAGTAATTTCTTACAACTAACTAGATAGCTGAATTTTTAACTACCTTTATAAATGTTACCTCGTAAACTTCATTAAATAAATTTGAAATGTCACCGTATATAAAAACTAAACAATGGAAAGCAGCTTCAGAAAAACTGCATCACAATCAATTACTTCAAATATATTTCATTAATCGTTCATGTTTATAATGTACCAGACAAATATTATGAATGTCTTATTTCAGTATTGAAATCTGACTCATTTTAATCAGAGAGGAGTTTTGTGGAGATTGTTGTAATTTATTAATTGAATTCATGAGTCAATTGAAGCTAGATCATCATGGAAAAACCGGAAGCACTGGACAGCCGTCCCATCCTATTGTGGGACTCCTCACAAGTGCGCATCTACGATCCCGCCCCGAAATTCGAACACAGGACCTATCGATCTCGTGCGCAAACGCTTAACCATTAGATCACTGAGCCGGTTGTCATCCAACGGTGTTAATGTCTAACTTCGACTAATCCACGAAATTGAGCGACATATCCACCATTGCCTCCAGTGAGTTACTATCTCACGACAGACCCGGTTGAACTTCACCGACAGGTCCTGGGTTCGAGTCTCTCGGGGGGAGGTCGTGGATGCGCACTGCTGAGGAGTCCCACAATAGGAGGAAACGACCTTCCAGTGCTTCCGGTTTTTCCATGGTGGTCTAGCTTTAAATGACTTATGATCTCAACTATTGAAATTAAATTTATTTCTCATACAGTTACCTGATATGTTATTATAGTGGAAAAACTATAAGATGTGTATATGAGTATATTTTATCACAATATTGATTGAACACATATAAACTATGAGTATCATTATGTGGGAAAATTTATTTTCTTCTAATTTTTCATTTACTTAAATATCTGTTTATCAATCATTTTAATTCATTTTAGTAATTACATTAGAAGAACGAGAACTATCAGAAGAACATGGTATTTTACTAACAGCTCCACCGCCTCAATTAACAATTGATGAACAATCTCAATCAGAAATATCCGAAACAACGTTAACCAATAATAATCCAACTGATGTAGATGAATCTGTTAACACAAACAGTGTCATCGATATAACTTTAAGTTCAGACGTAGAAATGAAAAAAGATAGATATCATTCGGATTTACTAGGTAAATATAGATTATTTTTGGTTGATATGTTAGTGAAGAATATTTCAAACTGGTTTTAGTAATTGGTAAATAATAACTGATGGACCATTGAAAATCAAAGAGCACTGGATATTTATTCTACCGTAGTGTGAAATTCTTCAGGAATATGGACTCAACTCCATCAGTTAAAAAGCCCAGAACCTTCAGTTCTTTCAATTGCGTCTCACCTTAAAGTGAATTTGAGACAAATAATTGAGCGTTGTATATTGGTAGAATTCAAATACGTCGGAATTAAAGTAGTTATCCATCCAATGATAACAGCAATGATGTCACTCAATATTATGAACTAGTTAAAGTTGGGAATATTGACCAGTAGATTTCAACCCAGCGATCTCTAACTTATGACCTGAAAATCCTGGGTTTCACTTCTAGTGAGTTTATGAGGAGCATATGCCACAAGAAAGCATTATTCTAGTGCCCCTTCATCTTGGTCTTCAATAGCCATTCAGTTGGTACCATTCTGTGACGAAGAGAAGCTTTATGGATTTTTCTTCTCTCTGATGATTTGCCTAGGCTTATCCTTTTTTATATTTTTCAGTTACGAAAAAAGAATCCCAAATAAATAATCTAGATAATGATATCATAAAAGATGTAAGTAAAACTGTATGTCGATTGCTCCTTTGATTAGTATAAATGCTTTTTACCCTATATTTCGTAAAATATCACACTGATATAAGTGATTCTCACGGTTCAGTCAATAAATTCATATATATATATATATATATATATATATATATATATATATATATATAATCTATATATATATAACTCACAGAAGCCGGTCTACGTTAGACGACATTTCTGCTTTTATTTTCAGTAAGCTAATTTACGTTAAAATTTTAGACTATGAGCAAGTTCTGTCGCTTTTTATTTATCAAAGCATATGCTCTTTTATAAAAAGGTAATTTTTACTAACTGACCTGAGGGTATCCCGGAACAAGTGATTAATAAGTTCTTGATGTCTTACAGAGTTACCCCTAATCCGACAGTGCCAGAAGGAAAGTCTCCGGCCGAGTGTATGCTCGGAAGGAAAATTTGGACAGTCTTTAACAGTATGTTGCCGCCCCGAAAGACAAATAAACCCACGAATGAAGATCGTAAGGTCAATCGTAGCTTCCAGGTGGGTGAAAAGGTACTTGTCAGATCGTATCAAGGTAATAGGAAGTGGGAACCAGGTGTCATAGAACGTCGAATCGGAAATGTGCTGTACCTAGTCCGGAAGGATGTCGGAAAATGCATAAGACATATAAATCAAATGCGAAGAAATGATAGTACAGTGGTCACAGAAAACCGGCTTCCATTTCAATTGCTCGTAGATTCATCTCAGAAGAACCATCATGAGCGCAAATATCGAAAAGACAAACGACGCAGAGAGAAAGCTGTACAACCCTCGAGAATAATGGACCGCAAGAGGAATGCGACACCCAAGCTTCAGGTGGATCCAAGAAAAAAATCTTACACAACGAACTTTAAAGGGGGGAGGTGTGACGACGGACCACCGGTGAACTCGAGGAAGCTGTGAGAGGCTCAGAAGGAGCCGAAGACGTTCCATCCAATCACCTTTCGGAAGAATGTTCTAGAATTCCAACGTGTAGCTTCCCGATTGGATAATGCTAATAACCCTCTGTATGCGGATTGGAAGACTGTAATGATGATTTCGTTCTCACTAAAAACTATAAATACCTGACAATTTTGTACTATGATTGACACTGTTTGGAATAATATTCCTTTCGTTAGTCTTCTGTCTTCTTACTGCGACTTGGAAGGGTTTTGGTGTTCTAGTGCTCAGTTATTCGCGGTATATCGAAAAATCAGCTTTTTCAAGATATAACATGACCTTTGAATAAGATTCCTTTTAGCTCTGGATTTTTTTACCTAAAATAATTTTAAACGAGGCAGTAAACGTCTCAATAATGAGTACCAACCAAACTTCTGGGTATTTTATTGTTTCAAACCTTCCATTATTTTGGCTAATCATATTACTCCCTTACTTACGCTTGTAGCCCCTCTGGGGCTACTTCCGGTCCCAATCCCGGACAAAGGGGGGTGGGCATTGTGTTAGCGATTTCATCCAGTAGAAAACTAACTCTCTTTAAAAAAATGCTTAGCAGCTAGCCATATATTCAGTACTGAATGATTTTCAGTCTACTAAATTATTATAATGATTTACATACTGTAATGAAAACCTTTGAATAAATGCTGACTTTACGTACAAAGAATGAAGTTTTTTTGGTAAAGTATCATATACAAAAGCTGCTTATTCTATAGTAGAAAGAAACTATGATTCGTTTTTCTAATAGGTATTAATAAAATCATTCGAAAATTTTCTGTATGGTAAACTTCAGTGACGCAATTATTACAAGTATTCAGTGAAATTGATTCATTCCATGTATCAAGATATATCGGTTTGTTCATTTCCCACTTGTTTAGTAGAAAACAATGTAACCAATTATACTAGAGTGATATTTTAAAGTACTTATTATTTGAAAGTATTGTTTGTACGTCATGAATGAATTTGGATCAATTTCGATTATCATATATTTATCCTGAGTGGGTACTTGAAAAATAGCTCAAGTTTTTGATGGAGTTTTGTTCTCTGAGCTGGATGGTTTGGTCGTGGAGATTTCATCGTTCTTCTGAACGACATCATCAGCATAAACTTCAGATAGAAGTAAAGCGTGGTTCGTAGTTGTGAACCACGTATGGAGAAATTCGAACACTTCACTTCTATCTGAAGTTTGTGCTGATGATGTCGTTCAGAAGAACGATGAAAACTCCACGACCAAACGATCCAGATCAGAGAACAAAACTCCATCAAAATCATCCACCTGAGCTACAAATCTTCTCCATTATCTCATAGTTTAGGTTTAAATTTTCATTGTATTAAGATTGTTGCTATCATTGGAATTCAGGAAAAGGATTTTATGTGAACGTCAACACCGAGATTTAGGTACATTCAGATGACAACACTCAGATAAGATAGAAAGTTTTTCACGTAGTTTCCATTAAAGAAAAACAGTTTAATCTTAAAATTAGTTGTGAATACATAGAATATTCACAAGAGTATTTTTAATGAGAGTATTCCAATTTTGTATTCAATAAACTGAGCAGTAGAAGCATAAATTAAAGACACTCAAATCACGTAAAGTCATGATTTCATTCGCAAACTAATGCTGAGTACATACAGGTATTTCAGCTTAGTTTGTAACTTCAATAATATGGACTAAAAATTGCGCGTGGCAGTGACCAAGAAATGTTTATGTCTTGAGTTAAACACTACCATTAAACTCCTGAGTTATAACTCAATTGGCAGGATTTTCAATTTTAATTCATTGAATTCTTGACGGTTCTAAACTAAAACAAATGAGTTACTTAGTACTTCATCATTTTCAGTGGTTTTCAGGGTGATCGGTTGAAAAAAAGGAGGATAATTCGAGACATATAAATACACAAGTCATACAGAACAAATATACCTCATTGGATCTTTCTAGTTATTTTATAGGTGGTGTTCACCTGAGACTGATCTCAGTTGGATTACCCTTGAAAACCATAGGACGTTGGTTGGCTATTTTGTCTTAGTATAAGATTTATCTAAAGTATTCATCCATGATTATACCAGCAGCCGAAACCACGACCTAGAGACAGTAACTGGTGCCTAAGCATTAAATGAGTGACTCTGCATTCAGTGCCATACATTTCCAACTTTAAACGGCTCGTGTCATTGAATGACCCTGATGAAGACTATTTAGCCCCCATATAGCTGAACTTCATAAGCTATGACTTCTCACAAGAATTTCAAGAACTCATCTAGGATCAGTCACTGATAAGCCCGCGGTTATAGTTTCAACATGGAGAGTGACGATTACCACGTACAAACCAAACAAATTCCTCATAACAGTATCCTTTTCAATGCATGAATTCGAATTAAACATTTCACTAGCGATCGCTTCGATAGAACACATTCATTCAATTACTGAAGGATTTTGGATTGTCGATATCAAATCCAGCATCAAGTAGGTGACATGCAATCACACTCTTAAAATTATCTTGATCATTTAATCTCCATCGCATTTAACAGCTGATTCCATCAACTGAACTTCAGTTGTAAATTTCTACTTATTTCTAAAAGTTTGAGTTTAACCTTCCGTCTATCAAGTTGAGTTTTTCTGAAGCTTCTACTGTATTATCATTGGATGCATACAGGATGTTATGACTGATTCATGAACCTATTTTTCACGAGCTAGAAAAAGTTAATAAAACGTTTATATATATATATATATATATATATATATATATATATATATATATATATATATATATATATATATATATATATATATATATATATACTCTTCACTGAAATGTGTTTTTTTTTCAATTACTTTGTAGCCGAGATCAACAAATGATATTGTTGAGCTAATCAATAACAATATAGATTCTAAATCACCTTTTATTAAAAGAAAATGTCGAAATAGATCCTATTTACAGGATGTCACATTAAAAGAGACAAAGTAAGTAATTGTAATTGTATTACATTTGCACTAATATATCACCTTAATTAATATTAATTAATGATCCAATCCCTCGTCTAACCCAGTCACCTTTATGTCATCAATTCACTGTTAATTATCTAGAAGTGTATATCCTTTTTTTATAGATTGAATCATCTAACACATGTATTATTACAATATATTATGAACCAGTAGGTTTATCTCCTAACATGTTTAGTCAAAATGTCTTTATCATATACAGACTAGCCAAATAGTAATTACAACTAACGACATTAATGTTATTTTTAATTATTAATCTGTAATATATACAAACTACCTAAAGTACAGATAATCTAAGTATCCTTACAAATGTCATGGACATTACGAGTCATAAAAAGACACGTCAATTAATATGGACCAATAATACAAATCATTTCATTTTTATACTTTTGTACAGAAACAACGTAGAACTTCGTACTTACGTACATCAGTTCGAGTTGCCATACCACATTAGCACAGAGATGCAGTTGTCGATTCAAATCCCATAGTGGTAGAGGTAGTAAGAGTATAAGCAGTAATCGGAAAGACTAGGGTCTGATATTATTCAAGGAGTATAATCCAGTGAAATAAAGTTGAAAAGAAAAGAAAGGGACATGAAGAATTCAGAAGATTCGAATTTGCAAGAACACAAAGAGTGGATGCACCTACGCCATTGCAAACGATTTTGAACCATGTCAGTCAAGGTCTCTAACCATCGGTTGCTATCATCTCGCGGATCCCAACCAGGTAGCCTACACCTGCTAACATGACTCAGTCCACTTGTCAGTGACTTAATGGATTTGTGCCATGTTCAATAATGTTATTATGCCTATCGTGATGTACTAATGTAATGAACGAGAGCACCAGTGAGGACAATCAAATGTATTTTAATACAACATTACAGAATCGCTTGGTAAAATCTGAGATCCATACAGTAAATATTTCATTTGTAAAATGTTAATCAATTGTCTTAGACTTGATTGTTCCTTATTTTTCATACCAATCGCTCTCTCTTCTAGTGCTCTTCTCTTCGATTTTTCTAACCTCCTGCCGCCAGGCATTTCAATTTCGGTTGGTGCTACATACTACTTATATCTGTTGACATCAGTAGCACAAATCACACTACTAGTAATTTCTTATAATCCGGAATAATTGAATGAATATTGGAAGAAAAACCATTTATCATGTAGAATAGTGGGAATGTATACTCACTGATAAAACTATCAGTTCTGAAATACAAAAACTCCAGTCAGATTAGCCTATTCAATCCAACTAAATAAATCACAGTTGTAACATTAAGTCATCATAATTTGAAAAACAACAAATTTATGTTGTAATGGTGATACGACTTCTGAATAGAATATAGCATATTGTGTATGTATATGTAAGAAACTATTCTTCAGTATGATAAATAAGAAGAAGTATACTATTTATTTTTGTTATATCCAAGCGAAGATTAAATCAAGAGTAACTTCTGAGACATATTAATTGACCACTATTATTTATACATTCTAATGGTTAGATTATGTATATTTATATTCCTCTTATTATAAGCTTTATTTTGATCCATAATTTATTATTGTACGGTTTACGGTTCTTAAGCTATGTTCAGTTTATTGACTATTGCCTCCCACGTTCACAGCCACTTTTCGGCTTTATTGTGTGCAAATGTTACTTGCTATTTTATGGTGCGTTGTGGTCTGTTTGTTTGATAATATAAACGCAGTATGTTTGAAATGTATGATTCACATAGTGGAAGCTGGTATTGGAATTCTAGACTCAGGTGAATGGGTTAGGAGGACATAGAACCAAGAAGGACGCTAAACTGTCCATACCAGTCGAACGTCATTGGTTTGGCACAGTGCTAAGATTGTAGTAGTCGTAATTTGATTGGTGGATAAATCACGTGATAAAAAGCCAGACATAAAGTCACAACAATTGTAAGATGGGATTTATTTCTTAAATTGTACATAAAAAGCATCTTCATATACTTCGATTTTCATGTTAGCTTGCACAATTTTCCGAAGTCAAATAGCTCTATGTTAATGTAACCAAACTGAGTGGCAATAGTAATTTTGAAAAGAACAAACTAGAATTTTAGGCATTGGACTATAGAACTGTTTTATTTTTCAACCTTAAATAAACCAAACAAACAGACATAGGATAATATATCATATGGAGTCAGTTGATAGTTTTTTTTTAATTCTCCAACAATCATTCAAATGTATCTTACTGTGATGTACGCTGGTTGTTTTGATGGATATAAGTAGTATGTAACAGAAAAAGAGTTGGAATAACAACAGAACTGAACGAATCATAAAGTATGTAATGGGCAAGTGAAGGAAGATGTACAAATTATGTACTTAATGGATGGTTTTCATAATTTATGAATACAATCTGTAATTTTGCATTAAACAGTAGATTGGTTATCCCTACCAAGTGTTCGTCCACTTCACTACACCTACTTATTGTCCATGTTATGTTCATCAACTTGAATGCTACTATTGAATCGTCTTACTAGGAACGGAACGAAGAATCAAGGATTCAGAGACTCGATAGGTTATACTGGTCCGTTGTCCCCGACTTAGCGTGAGTAGTAAGAACTGCCCAAGCATACATCTGCATACAAGCTCCGAAAAGATAAGATTACAGAATATGAGTTTTGGGGATCTAACGTCCCCAACAGTCCAGCCGATATCTTCTGTCACAATGAATCATCTTCAAGTGAATCAACTTTATAAAACAATTGCCTATTTTAATATCTACTCATTTTTCTTTTTAATACAAAAACTATTCTTCCATCACCTAATTTAGTTTTCTTTAATGTTTACTTTTTTTGGTAATTAAAGTAAAATTCGTCAAGAATACGGCTTAAAACCGATAAATAAGAATAAAATTTCTTCACCTGCTAAACGACTGCAATCGATCGATCAGAAGGTAAGTATAGTTATCCAGTCGGTCAAATATCCCATCTCTCTATTTTGTTCGTTTACGTTTTTCTTTAAGATATAAATAAATTTTGTAAGAAAAAATATAAGTGTATACGTTGGTTTTTGAATTAAACTAACGTTTTAATCGTCAAGACATAGATAGATAGATGAACTTGGCAATCCGTACACACATACAAATATAGCTGATTGCCAAAATAAAAGATACGGGAAGTTTGTATGGAGGTTTTTTTAAATCCAAATATAGTTCACACTACTAATTAACTTTACCCTTAAATAGTATTTAATAAACAAATTGAATTAAATAACTGTTTAATCTTAACATATAATTTCGCAATCGTGTTCATCAACGACATCATCAAGGATAGAATAGAATATCTACAGGCTTTGAACTATTAGATTACAAAGGAATAGCTAAAATCTTAGCATGTGCATTAAGAGGTTACTGGTATATTTACACAAACCACCAGTGTTAACAGATGTGATACTTCGATTTCTATTGTCAGTTACACATTTATTTCCTATTGATTTTTGTCATTCAATCAGCTGTTTTTCCCATCAACTAACTACAAAACACAAATAATTGAAAGTTTGTAAAAAAAAAAGATAATCATAGCTATTAAGATATCTTTGCTTCTGTGATAAAATATGTGTTCAGAATCAATTAAATGAATATAAGATATCGTCTATATCGGCAAAAAGGAAACATGTGTAAGTTGTATGCATTTGATGAAATATATCTTCCAAACACTGGTAGTGTATCGTGAAGTAGATTTATCAGGTCAAATGTTGGGGCTATAAACTCTCGTCTATTGAACCGGTAAAGACTAGTGTTACACATCCTTTATATCTGGAAATGTAATACTGACCTGCATAAATGCATGCTTGATAAAAACTAGTAGTAGACCACATCAAGGTACAGCATCAAACCATAAAACTAGTTATTGTTTATCTCAATCTTGTATGTAAACCCATACTTCCTGGTTAGATCTCTTATTATAGCTTTGATCTTTGGTTATAATAATAATTGATAAAACTGGATACAAGTTCATTCATTTTTAATCTATCCAAGGTAAAAGTATGTAACATGCCGTCAACACAATATGTTTCTAAGTGTTTAATTTGTCCATGATAAAAAGCGTAGAACTTCTGTCAGTTATTCTAAAGGCATTATGAATTAATGATTAGTAATCTATTACTATTGTGGTGTGAGCTACTTATATTCACATAAGTAGTATATAGCGATGGTCAGTAATAGAATTTATTTCAATAGAAGATCGAGAATAAAAGGATGGGAATCGGAAGCGATTGGTATGAAAATGCACGAACAATGAATTATGAGACGATAGACTGATATTTGCAAAAAGAACAGTCAAGTTTGAGACAATTGATTGATATTATGCAAATTAAGTATTCACTGTATAGTTCTCAGACTTTAGTTAGATATTCTGTAATTCTGTGTTCTGTTACATTTCATTATCCCCACTCGTGTTCTTGTTCAGTGCACTATCTATATGAATAATAATATTACAGAAATTGTTAAATTCAACTTATGAATAGTTAACCTATCCCTATGGTGCACATGGACTCCAGTATGCTGAGGGATTAAATGACGTGTGAACCAATCGTTGGTCACCGGCTACCATGGGACTGCATCTTCTTACGATGCTCCACTGCCTTGTGGATCAGACCTTTTGGTCGAAGGCTCCGGATGTGGCCCCCTAAAATAACCACCTGCTTCGATCTAGGCACCCGAGCAGTATCACAGCCTTCACACAAATCAAATGCGATTTGTGCGGCGCATATGTATTTGGTGCCCCGTTGTACCAAAATCCATGTGTTCAAATAAATAAATAAAATAACCTATCCCTAATTTATATACTTTCATACCTTATTTCAAAAATCTCTCACTTTTGTTAATGCTTTAGGACATATCAACTAAAGTAACCATGTTTCCATACAGTAACTTTTGTTAATTCACGATTCTATTTATAAATTTCAGTGTTCTTAATTCTTAAAAAAAAGGAAATTTCTTTTTCTTTAATGATTTGAATTATGTAGAATGAGAAAATTGTTCGAAATTCAATTATACGATTATTAAAAACATTGAATTCTGAAAGTTTAGAAAGAATTATTCAAGCAGCTGAAAAACGTATATTACGTTTAACCGGTAGTTCAAAATTACATTCATTATTAGTGAATGATAATGTTGTTGTTGTTGTTGAAGAAGAAGAAGAAGAAGAAAATAACAATGAATGGACATTAAATGGAACTTATGATTGTTCAAATTATATGAATGGAGATAAATGAATTTGCTTAGACAAGTAATAGATGTTTACATGTGACAGAACATAAAACTAATTAACAATTATATGATGGACATTTCAATGAACAACTAGACATCATTATTTCAACGGTTATGTCTTCTTCCTTTTTTATTTCCTCATTTTAGGCTATACTCACTATTATCTCATCTAAATTGATAAATGTAAATAAGATTTTACAAAAACTAATTCATTGAATGATGATAAATAGGGTCTATAAAAAGTTTAAAAAAACCTTTCGATTACCCTGTGATTCTTTTTATTGATTAATAACTTGCAAAGGTGAAAAAGTGTAACCAATCATACTTTAATTGATTCATTATGCAAATTCATTGTCATAATTAAAGTATATTTACTCAAACATTTTGACTTATTTTCATGAAATTCTATTGTTTAAAACAATGATAATTTGAAATATGATTGGTCGGTCACAATTGATTGATCACTGGGTGGCGATCAATGTCATGCGTGTCTAGTCCTTATTTAGTGCAGATCGAATGCTATCGACCATGTTGCAATGTGGCCACCAGTCTAATTGACTCGACATTTCGGGCACTATATATTGAGATTAGATGGTGGTTGGACGTAGTCAATCAATCAATTGTGATTACATCTCAGTCCTACACGAGGTCGGTCGCGGCTCGGATAGCTCAGTGGTAACGTCTCTGACTGTGAAGCTGAGTGACACGAGATCGAATCCGCCAGGGAGAATCAGTTCTCTTAAGATTACAGGTACACCTTGCTGACGAGTGCCAAGTGGCACGAAACTCGGGTCCAGGGTTTCCTGTCGACTACCTCCAACCACCATTTAATGATTGGTCGGTTTCTGATTCCATATTCTTCATTGTGTAATAAATTGAAATAGTATAGATTTACTTGTTAATGATCATTCTTGAACGGTCAATCTTATAAAAGTTCACAATCCTATAATGTTTCTCAATTTTCTTTAAGATAAATGTATTAAAGTATTTAAAAACGATAGGAACATGTTTAATAAGGGTTCTGTAAAAATATCGAACAGATGTATTTATTTCATACACATAGTTCCCTTTATCATTTTGAAAAGAGCAAGAACAAACATTCTAGCAAAATAGTATGAATTCAGTTTTATTTCGATCTTATCGGACATCAGGTCGATACCCTACAATCATTCAAGGTGATTAGTAAGAAGCCAAACTCCAGTCTTCTGTAGTTTTCTGAAGCAGTTGCTATCAGATGCCAAAAACCTGATTTATGTGTTCAGAAGGAGATGGTTATTAATCTTTTCTTGCCTTGGTGACTAATATTCCTTCACTGTATCTTAATATATATATATCACATCCTTGAGTTTTATTCCAACTATCTTCCAAACTATTAATCTTAATTTATCAACTGAACTCTACTCATTTTATTCCTATCAATGTTTACTTGTTTCTAGCCGTTTGAACTGTTGTCACAATGTTCTTTCATCACATAAGGTATATATTTACAATGTTCAGTCTGTTAAATTCATTTACACCCTTGCTATACTCTACGAATATGTCTTCAATATAACTTCCAATCAAACTCTTTCATGTAAGTAATTTAAAACCATTATGTAATTATGATTTTTTTTAATATCACAGGTTGTAAGCAGCTGACGAGAACCTACGAAATAAAAAAATGAATTCATGCTATTCTGCTAGAATGTTTGTTCTTGCTCTTTTCAACATGTATTTATAGTTTATAATTATTCTTACTAAAATCATTATGCGCATATGTAGCACAAATCACTCAGTACCTTATATAACCCCTGTAAATTTTAAAGTGAAGAGGAAAGAAAATCGTAAATCATGATCACTCAGATTAATATTAAAATTGGCACCTAAAATTGAATGATAACTCCAAAACCATGTATAATTTCAGAAGGGGTTTTGTGGATATGATAGTAATTTTAATAGTTGGGATCATGAGTCAATTAACGCTAGACCACCATGGAAAAACTGATAGCATTGGACGGCCGTTTCGTCCTATTGTGTGACTCCTCAACAGTGCACATCCACGACCCCGCCTCGCGCGCTTCAACTGACTCATGATCTTAACTATTAGAATTTTCATAATATCAACAAAAATACCATTTTTTATATTAGTCAACATGTTCTCACTTCAAGATGCGTTTCCTGGAGCTCTAGTGGGAAGCACTGATCAGTGGAGTTCAACTGGGTCTGTTGTGAGATAGTGTTATATCTTGTGACCGCCGATTAGAGAGCAGTGACTTATCGATCGGACCAAGGTCGCGTAAAACACGTGCGAGCAGTCTAGAGTCCTGATTGGTCCTGCTTTCCGCCTAGCCCAATCAGTTAAATCCAGAATACCGATCCCAGCCTCTGCGATATGAATCATGTATTTCAAACATACTCGGTTTATATACCGATCAAACAGACCACAACGTACCAATAAAATATGAAACAACATTTGTACAAGAATTAGCCAGATGTGACTGTGAATTAGATAGGTAGTAATTAATATACTGGTTATAACTCAAGAATGGTAAAACGTATAATAATAGTTTATGGGCCAAAATAAAGCTTATAATAAGAAGAATATAAATATGCATAGTTTAGTTACTTAATAATTATACAATAGAAATATAAGTATAGTATTGGTCCGTCAATAGATCCCAAACGTTACCATTCATTATTCTTGTTGGGACATAGCAGATAATAGCTCACTGAAGAAAATGATGGATGTGTCACTCAATTTCGTGAACTGGTTGAACTTAGACATTAACACCGTTGTATGACGACTGGCTCAGTGAACTAGTGGTTAAGAGCCCGCGCGCGAGATCGATTGATTCTAGGTTTGAATCTCTCGTGGCGGGATCGTAGATGCGCACTAGTGAGGAGTCCAACAATAGGACGAATCGGCCGTCCAGTACTTCCGGTTTTTTCCATGTTTGTTTAGCTCCAATTAACTCATGATCTCAACATATTTATTTCTTTATTTATCTGATTGTTATAAACTCTGGATGTTCAATATAACTATAAAGTTTAGGACGACTTAATAGTTGTTCAAAATTTGACATCTGCCTAAACCATCACAAAAAGTGGACTTAAATCATATTAATTATCATGCAAAGTATCAGTTTTAAAAAGAAATTAATGGCTAAAATTTGATGATTGAGTCATTGAAACTTTGTTTATCATTTTCATTAGTAAACAGTTGTGTTTGTTTTTTACTTGATGTAATAACACTTTAAAATTATTAAACGTTTAATGGTCACGAATAGTCCGTAGTGTCGTTTATTATGTTAAGCCCATATACCTTATTCTAGCTTTCGGACAGCCCATTCTATTCATTCTAATTGAGTCACATTCTGACCTTGTTATTTATTCGCTTATCAATCTTGACTGTTTTTATATGAGTGCGTGTGTGCACATTTCTTATCCCTTTACTCATCACATGTCTGTAACTTACTTTTGTATAACTATAAATATTAATTAACGCTTGGTTAAATGCGAGTTGGCTTACCCGCCATCTCCACTCTGCGTCGTTTCTCTTCTCTCGATTCCATTGGCTTTATATACAAAATATATGTATTCACGAGTCCATTCTCGTTATTCGACTTATTTAACTTCGTTATTGACTAACGTAATTTAAGTCGATGATTATATACGAGGATAGGCGACATATATATTTCAACAGTAATCATTCAATAACAATCATTCATACGATCTAATTGGAGTCAGATTTTGGGCCACTAAAAATCTACACAGTTTTTGTGAATGCCTTCTGATTATATTTCTGTTTAACAACCGTTTATTGTCTATACTAATTTATTTAAATATAGAAACCTTTATTATGAAGTTGATCATGATTATTGAATTAATAGTATAACCATCCAATCACTCAATCAATCAATCAATCAATCAATCAATAATGGTCTGAATGATATTTGTTAAGGTTATTCAAACTTACCCGATTTAAAATTTATCATAAACAAGTCACATATCAAACAAACAAAAGAAACATTTTACAAAGTATTCAACGAGAAATAATTAGTATTAGAAAATATGCAAATTCTTTTGTGTAACTTTTTGATATTATTTATCAAAATTAATTAAGTTTATGCAAAATATGTAACATTTACCAATATCCATAGATTCTTTATTTTGAGCTAATGGAATCTGATTACGAAGTTTACTTACATGCTTACTTATGTTCGTTACCCCTCGGCGATGAACATAGGCCACTCACCAGAATTCTTCATTCAACCATGTCCTGGACAATCCTTTCCAGTTGTTATTCATCTTTTTTCATGTGTGCTTCCAATTCTCAGTGATGCGTGTTCTTTGGCCTTCCTCTTTTCTGTTTCCCTTCAGGATTCCAAGTTAGGGCTTGTCTCGTGACGCAGTTTAGTGATTTCCGTAATACATAGATCAAGAAAAATTGAACTAGAATGTGAAACATTGGAAGAAATCAAGCGGATTCTAAACAAGCATGGTATAAGAGTGTATTTTAGGGCGATTGACACCGTAAGATCGATATTAGTGAAAGTTAAGGATAGGTTACCAAAGGAAGAATAACAAAATAATGTTTATGAAACTAACTGTTATGATTGTAATGCAGCTTATGTGGGAGAAGTATACAGATAATTGAATGTGAGGTTGAAGGAACACAAACAGTGTTTGAAAAACGTTCCTAAATCTTCGGTTGACTTAAAGAAACTTCAGAATAAGTCTGCGATAGCGTTACATGCGTTAAAAACAGGACACAAGATTAATGTTGAAAGGACCAAAATAAATCAGATAGGTTCTAACACTAATAAAGACTGAACAGCAGAAGTGCTGTATACATGGGCGAACAAGAACAGCCTGAACCGAAAGGATGGTATTCAACTAGCGACCACCTAGCAAATATTCATTGACAAGTAATTTTGACCCTTTCTTTATTCAACCTGTTTATTTCGCATGGATCGTTATTTTAACTGAAATTAATGAGTTCTTTAGCATTGCAATAATGTATTTG